TGGGCCTCTAAGTATCTCACAAAGCAGTCCATGAGTTAGTATGTGCACACTCACAGGTGAGGTCTCTGCGGACTGCCTTATTCAGGGTCACACAACTGTCCGCCACAGAGTCAGGCTACCTCCAGGCCCCCGTGTTCTGTGCCTGGACTGTTGCTCCCTAGCTCACGGATACTTCGGTTTTTGTTGGTTTTTGTTCTACAATCTGTTGAAAGCAGATAATCAGGTCTCATCCATGGGAGATGGCTGTTATGGGAGTTGGGCCCAATGCAGCTTGTTCCCAGCCATAAGCATAACCAGCATCGAGTGACACCAACGTGCAGGCAACGGCAAGGGTGCTCAGCTAAAGTAGAACTTCCTGTGTTTTCCCCACAACAGACCTACAGTTAGGACCCGTTCTTATTCTAATTTCTGGTTTTGGCCGCCTTCCTTTGGCCGCAGCTTTGAACTAAGGAGCCTTTACATGACTGCACCCAGGAGTCCCCAGACTGTAAAGAGTAAACATTTTTGAGGGAAATATACTTTATGCTCTCTTTATAAAGTATATGCAATATGCTCTGTACCCTCCCCGGCGTTTGTAGCAGAGGCGAGAGACGCCTGCCTGCCCCTGCTCAGAGTCACAGAAGGCTAAGGCCGCCCAGGACAAACGCGAGGCTTGGGCAGGCCTCCCTGGCCACTTCCACGCGAGCTCCTGTGAGAAACACTTCCAGAGACAGCCACCCCGAGCCCAGGCCACAGCCGGCCCCCAAGCTCTCCTCTGCTCAGGCCTCACAGGAACCTGGCCCCTGCTCCCCTGAGCGGGAGGCCCCACAGTCAGGACGGGTCCTGCAGCTGGGGCCCGGCTGCCTGGGCCCTGGGGCCCGTGCAATCCCTGCCACTGGGAAAAAGGAAGGCGTGCTCTTCAGTCCTTCACACACTCATTCAAGACTGACCTTTACTGGAGCCGGCGAGACGTCGCTGACTCTCGTCGTTCACAGTGGTGACGGCCACAGTCAGGGTCCCGCTGGAGAGGGGAGCCCAAGCCCCCACGCCTGGGGCGGTGCAGGCAAGGCTCCCGTTTTCGCCCACTGACCAGCGCATAACCGAGCTTTATAGGAGCTCCTGTGGGAACAGATCTTATTTAATAGCCATTACTGATTCATCAACATTGAACTCCAGGCCCAAAGCACTGTGACTCAAGTCTGCACAAAGCTTGTCTAACACTCACTGTTCCATAAGGAGATTTTTTCCTGTCATATCACAACCTCGCACGCCCTTCAGCTGGGTCTTGGGGGCCATTTATTGCAGCAGAATCGCCCCTGAAAAGGACACACCGACGTGAGGGAGATGGCACGAAGCGGGCTGCGAAGAGCACTGTGTCCAGCAGGGGAGCCGCGGCCAGGCCTGGTGACCCCCTGGGACCCGTGTCGGAGCCTCAGCATGCTCGCCACTCTGCCTGACCACGGAAGCCCCTGAATATCGACGTGGGGGTTAAAGATAAATCAGTCTTAGCAAGCGGCACACTGGCCACTATGGAATCCATGAGTAGGCGAGGCTGGCCATCTGGGGAAGCCACAGCCTCTGCTTATTTATCCGAGAAGCCAGAGCAGGACTGCAGCTCCCGCCGCCCGCCGAGGGCCGCCGGGAACATCTTGTTTGCCTCGCGGCCCGCGGGGTGGCTGTGCGCGACAGCCGTTGGCAGCTACCCCTGCGGCGGTTCTGGTTCCTGCGGAGGATAAATTTAAGCACAGCCCAAACCCCTCTGCGTGAAACAAAAACCAGGCACTCCGTCCCGTTATCAATCACTTGCGATATGACAGGCGCTGTATTCAGCAATTTACATGCATTATTAAGTTACACTCCCCAAAACTGCGCGGGGGCACCGACGGCGCTGGCACATCCATTATCGTGTTTAGCAGTGGACTCACATGCTAAAAATCTCACAACAGCAGCTGCTCCAACAGCACTGGGGCATAAGGGGAGGAACTAATTTACTCACTTCAGGGTGAGGGCCGGAGGGGCAGGGGTCTGACAACTGTCTCTGGGGAGTTGTTCCTTTATGGACCTCCCCTTCCACCCAGCATGACCAACACAGGTGAGCCCCAAATTATCACTCTCCATGAACCTGGATAACACCATTTGCCCCACCCTGGTGATTCCCTGGGGCCCTGCCTCACCGAATTTGCCCACCTGGCCTGAGACTCCTCCAGCGGCTCCTCCACAAAAGGGGCCTATCTTGCTGTTCCATAAGGAGATTTTTTCCTGTCATATCACAACCTCCTTTTTAAAAAAAATGTGGTAAAATATACATAACATAAATGTGGCCATTTCACCAGGTGCGTGTGCAGTTCAGGGGCACGCGGTGCATTTACACGTGGGGCAGCTGTCACT